ATTAGCTAAGTTTTAGTTAATAGTTATCTTTTAATTAATGTAATTTTTATAATTTTTTTGTTTTAATTTAAGTTGTCTCTTGGGATTCCAAAATGGCTTTTGGAATCCCAAGGAAGTTGTTTTCCCCATGCCTTGGCTCCTTGGCTTCCACGGGTTGGTTGTTTCCTGTGCCGTGGCTCTATGGTTCTCACGGTGGCTGCTGGTTTTCCGAATTGGGGGCTTTCCTGTGGCTTTTGGCACCTCGGTTCCGTGCTGCCTCTTGGGTTCCCGTGGTTGCTTCTTCGGTTCCCTAGCTGGGCTGTTTTCCCGTGGAGTTGGGGGGATTTCCGTGCTTGTGTTGGTTGGATTCTTGTGGGAATTAAATGTAGTGTCCGTTTGTATTCCCCCTTTCATACCTATAAATATGAGGGGTTTGTTATGTTTAAAAGAAGTGAATGATATGTGATTTTTGGAAAAGTAAACATGTGGGTTTCTTGGAAAAGCTTGCGAGCTTTGTCCACCTTCTTCTTCTCACCCCCTCTTGAAATCTTGTGAGCTCTTTCCACCCTTCTTCTCGGGCTTCTAATATCTTTCGTCTCTCCGCAAGTTTACACCTCACCTATATCTCTCTTCTATAAGTGAAGCAAGTTTAGGGTGTCTTTAATTTCGATTCGAGTTTGTTAAATCGTTGTTTGTAGTCTTTTAATTTCTTCTTCTTAGTTTTATTTGAAATGTAAGAGTTTGTTCGACTCTCCCCCCTCATTTTCGAGCTTGTCGTCATCTAATAGGTCCCCTGCCGGCGGAGGTCCTCGGGTCCCCCATCCCCCGGATTTTTGCCCGCATCATTTGGCATCAGAGCAAGTTAAGAAGTCCTAGGTTTTAGATTTGGTTGTCAAGTTTTAGTTTTGTTTTGTCAAGTCAAGTCAAGTTGTGAGTCTTGTAAGTCTTGTCGTGAGTCTTATTGTAAGTCTAAGTTTAGGTTGAGTTTTTTGAGTCTTTTTTGAGTCAGTTAAAAAAAATGAAAAAAGATAAAAAGACAGAAGAAAGCAAGCCTGATGAAATTGAAGATCCTATGGATAGGTGGATTCCATCAAAGTCAACAAATCCTTTGGAGTATGAACTATATAAACTTCAATCATGGATGCACCTACGTACAGAAAGGTATATGAATAAAAAGCAACGTTTACAAGATAAATTTCTAAGAGAACGAGATGAGATCATGCAAAAATATGAAGATTTGATCAATGAACTGGATGCTCCATCTTCACCTCCTCGAAAGAAACCAAAGTTAATTCATCGGGAGATGAGTTCTCAAGAAGGGGAGTCTGATGTAGACAAAAGGGGGGGGGTCAACTCAGACCCAAAATAATTTAAATTTTGGCTTCCCATGAGTCTACAAGCTCAATCAAATTTGAGCTGGAATTTAGCTCATTTATGAGCTGGTCTTTAGTTCATTTATTGAACTATGGGTTAGCTCATTATTAGCTAAGTTTTAGTTCATAGTTATCTTTTAATTAAATGTAATTTTTATTGTTTTGATGTCTTAATTAAAGTTTGTCTCTTGGAATTCCAAAATGGCTTTTAAAATTCCAAGATGTTTTGTTTTCCCATGCCATGGCTCCTTGGCTTCCACGGTGGGCTGCTGTTTTCCGTGCATGGCTCCTTGCATCTCACGGTGGATGCTGGTTTTCCGAGCTGGGGGGTCTTCCCGTGGCTTTTGGCGCCTCGGTTCCGTGTGGTCCCTTTGATTCCCGTGGTTGCTCCTTCGGTTCCTGGGCTGTGCTGTTTTTCCGTGAAAATCAAGGGTGCTTTTTATGGCTTGTGATGTTTGGATTCCTATGGGAAGTAAATGTAATGTCCGTTTGTATTCCCCCTTTCATACCTATAAATATGAGGGGTTTGTTATGTTTAAAAAAAGAGAATGATAAGTTATTTTTGGAAGCTATAACCTGTGGTTTTGCTTGGAAAAGCTTGCGAGCTTTGTCCACCTTCTTCTTCTCATCTCCTCTGGAAATCTTGCGAGCTCTTTCCACCCTTCCTCTTGGGCTTCTAATCTCTTTCGTCTCTTTGCAAGTTTACACTCCACTTGTTTCCCTCTTCTATAAGTGAATCAAGTTTAGGGTGTCTTTAATTTCGTTTCTAGTTTGTTAAATCGTCGTTTGTAGCCTTTTAATTTCTTATTTATAATTTTATTTGAAATGTAAGAGTTTGTTCGACTCTCTCTTCCTCCCATTTTTGAGCGTGTCGTCGTCTAGTAAGTCCCCTTGCCGGCGGAGGTCCTCGGGTCCTCCATCCCTCGGATTTTTGCCCGCATCATGTACCCAACATCGATTATTAGTTTTGAACTTTAAGATAAAGGGGCGGATAATAAAAAATAAAGTAAAACAATATTCTAGGATTAGATGGGGCATTTAAAGAATATTAACAAAAATATTTTTGAGAGTAAGATTTTAGATCTTAAGATTTTATCTGTGCATGATGATGCTAATGCTATGTGGGAAAAAGTGGCTAGTGATATTATGAATATTGTAAAAGATGTGCTTAGAGTATCAAAGGGAAAAGCTTCTAATAGGAAAAATAGTTGGTGGTGGAATCCAAATGTGCAAGAAAAGATTAAAAATAAGAAGATTTGTTATAAAAATTGGTTTAATTTTAAAAATTATGATAATTGGGAAAGATATAAAGAGGCTCGTAAGGAATTTAAGAAAGCAATATGGTAAGGAATTTAAGAAAGCAATATGCGATGCAAAGACCTTAGCTTTTAGTGATTTATATAATAGATTAGATACTAAGGAGAGAGAAAGATATATGTATAAATTAGCCAAACAAAGAGATAGGAGTAATAAAGATTTAGTTCAAGTGAAGTGTATTAAGGATGAAGATTAAAAAATACTTTTTTTAGAAGATGATATTCAACAAAGGTGGATGAGATATTTTGCTAAACTTTTTAATGAAAATTATAAAAATAAGATTGGCTATAGTGACCTTAGCACCCTAAATAAAAATAAAGTATGCCTTAGATGATTTGGTCACATAAAACGACAACCTTCCAATGAGCCGGTTAGGAGAGTAGAGGTATTAGATTTGACTTATGTTAAGAAAGGTAGAGGGAGACCTAAAAAGAGTTGGTTAGAAAATATTAGAAATGACCTTTCTTTATTAGATTTAAACGGAATTTGACCTTTGATAGGACACAATGGAGAAAAAGGATTCATGTAGCCGACCCCATGTAGTGGGATAAATACTTGATGTTGTTGTTGTTGTATCATTGGAGCCTATTTTAATATTCCTTGTATGGATATGTGCATACTGTAATTATGAAATTAAAGTTGATTCCTATTGTTTATGCGTTGGGAGAATTGAACTTGCAGCAGTTGACCAAACCTAAAAAGGAAATAAAAATATTGGAGAACATAGCCCAATCTCTATGTTGTACCGATACTTCTATTTATGAAGACGTGCTGTATCCGATCCACCGATACACGGATACACCTCCGATACGTCACCGATACGTGTCAGATACGCCAAAGCCGTATCCAATTAAAATACTATTTAATTTCAAAAGGACACGCGTATCCGATACGCGTGTCCGTCGAAAAAAAAAATCTAAAAAAGGATGCGTCGTATTTACTTCCACGACTGCGAGCGAGGTTCTTTCATTCCTGGATTTGAGTCTCATGATGGTATGAGAATATTAGAAATTGCTAATCTTTCACTTGATGAGCCTGAATTAGAAGCTATGATATTCATTGAAGATGATATAGAAGTTCAAAGACAAACCACAGAAGAAGTTAATCATATCATTCATTCTATTGAATTGTTGAAACTTCATGTGCCAGACAATTTATGTTTATGCTTTTGTTGTTGTACTAGACATTTAATGCTTACTTTTATTTTGATATTATAAGCTTTAAGGCTACAAATAATGTTGCTTTCATTTTTTTTTGTAATTTCAAATATTTTGCTTTGAATGTTTTCTTAATTTTTATGTATGATTTATAAATTATAATGCCGTGTCCGCGCCGTACCCATATCCTATACTTTTAAGAATTGACGTGTCCCGTATCCGTATCGTGTCATATCCGTGTTGCCGTATTTGTATTGGTGCAACATTGCCCATTCTCAGTAGGATCAACATTACTGGCATGCTTTACATATACCGAAAAGAAAATATATAGTAAACTAAAATACAATTTGATTTAAAGTTTACTTTATGTGCTTCTAATTAGTACATATTTTTGGATTTCATTCAATTATACTATTTGTTAGTTTCTTTAAAACTTTTAAATATAATCATTTTTTATGAACAATTGTCTGTGTACTATTACATACGTCATTTATCTGGTATTTGTGGGCATACCTTTTGTACGATAGCTAATAGTAAAACTTAAAGGAGTATCATTAGAAGAATTTAGGAGAAAGATGAATTCGCTGCAGCTTGTTTGAAAGTTCTATGAAATGAAAGTGTCTTTATAGTTGGCCATATATTATTTAAAAAATAAATAAAATGTGTTATGAAATGATGCATTCCTCAATTTATGGAAGAAGAAAAACATTGCGTTCAGTTTATATATAACGACAATTGCTCATCTTTTCTTCTATTTTTATGGACAGTAGAAGAGTTTTGTTTATGAAATATACACAGTCTCTTTGGCTCATGTTTTTTCATGCTATAATTGCTTTTTGGGGGATTTACTTTTTTGAGTAGTATTCAATTTGAACGATGCACTTGGTGGCATGGACCTGTTGTACTGCTTCATCAATCCGGCATTAAAATAAAGCTAAAATTGGGCATTGGTGGTAGAGTGCATTGCTCTACTACAAAGAATGAAAATACTTTATTATTTGTGCTTAGTAGTCTCTTAGTGTCTCATGCTATTTTTTGTCAAAATTTCTACTAACCAAATCTTTACCCTGAAGTTTGTCAACTCCCTATAAACATGCTTTTTCTAACATGTATGTTCATTTTGTTATTTTTCTGCTTTGTAAGCCTGTCTTGTTTATGTGTTTCTTTTATGAAGATCTACTTATGCAACAACAATTCGTGATTCAAAGTATGCTCGGGAAAGGGAATTCTTAAAAGCTGTGAGTAGATCAGCTTATTTTAAGTATCAATTTTTGTTGCCTAATTTGGAATGTATTGTTCATGAATGCTTTATACATTCTGTATAAGTATTTTTCTTTGTCGTGGTAGTTTGCATTTAAAGTTCATACTATCAGTAATAGTTCAGTGGTCCTATGTACAGTTACAGGATTCAAAAGTATTTTTCTAAGCCAGGATTTTGAATATGTTATTTTGTGAATTTATGCATGAATCCATTACAGGTGAAATGAGAAATATACTTACTAAAACCCATAAAAGTATGAGCAAAAATAAATAAAAATCAAATGTATGTAAAATCCTCGATAAATCATTTGAAGGAAGATACTAACATGTTTGAAAATCAAACTACGAGATTAACTTTCTCCACGTTAAAAAGATTGTGGGGTTAAATTTATAGAACATAGAAGGTGCTAGCACATTGTCAAATCCAAATGCAAATTTCATATATTTCATATGAAAATTCATAAATGAAACTCACAATTAAGAACTGATTTCAAAGATCTGGGCTTCGTTTGATAATTCTTTTCTTATGCTTTCTTTTAAAAAAAATCTGCCATATCATATAATCTGATTTCTATGGAAAATGTGATGCGGAAAGCTCTTTACTGCACACGATCCCTTTTCAATCTCGGTCAAGTGATTAGCAAAGCAGCTCATAGAATAATGTTTATTTTTTGGCACATCACCATACCAAATGAATTACTTGGTTTATGATGGTTGAACATCAAGAAAAGTATTATCTGAAACTTTTAGTGTTGGCAATTAGGTGAGAGTTGTGAGTTGAAATCATGATGAGCGAATCATTTTGCGTAGTCTGCAAGGGGTTAAGGTATCATGCAACATACTTTTTGTAGCTTACCCAAATGCGCTACATTAGTTGTAATGCCTTGAAGTTTAGGAAACTATACTGGAAAACATCTGTAAAAGACATCTTGTAATATATGGTAAGATATTTTGCATTACCATTTTGTTTATTTTCTTATACAACTTTATTGTAGATTGCATCACGTGATTATGCATGTATTATGTGAATCATTGAATGCTTTATTTTTATGCTTTGCTATTTATCATTTGTTAGGTTCACAAATGCGTTGATGCTGGTGGTAAAGTTCTCATTCCAACATTTGCTTTAGGGAGAGCACAGGTATTCAAAAGTCAGTGAACTAAAATTTATAGTTTCGTTGTATTTTTGTTTTGGGTTTGTTGTTTGGTCGCCTTCTAAATTATTTAGTACTTATCCTTGCCCTAGCTAATAAATTCCTAATCCTCAGCATCTTCTGACCAAAACCACCAACTATAAATCAGGAACATTCCTTATGGACTGATATGCGTTTTGCATGGTATTTCACTCTTAGATGCTCGGATGCTTTAGCATACCCTGTGGATATCTTTATGTGACTTTTTATTCTTTGCTAAAAGAATTTCCATGCATCCTGGACAACTCTTGAACCTGATCTTTTGAACACGATCTTTATTGGACATATATTAAACATAACCTATGAAACTCTAACTTGGTTATATTCTAAATCTATCTTATTCTAATATTTGATCATTGTTCTCTGCTTTATAATTTTATAATCAATTATGTATTGAGAAATAAATGAAAGTTACAATAGCAATGAAAATGTTTAGAGGATATATTGTCTTAGAATTGGTATGATGTTATGCAATTTTGGTGGGGATTATGGAAACTATTGTCAATTAATAATATTAGTTCATGAAGTGATTTTTAGGCTTGATAGGTGTAAATGTCTTATATGTATTACGTATAAGAATTAAAATATAAATAATGACTTAACTTTTGGAGTTTAGGTAGGATGGTAAAGATGCAGAAATGCCCTAAGAGTATTATACTATAGGAGGATATTTTGAAGACTTACATTACAGTTTTAGAATTGGACAGGAGGGAATAATTTTGAATCTCCTCTAATTGGGGAATATGTGGGGCAGCACACCTTGAAGGGAAGGCTTTGATTGAGAGCAAAAGGAGAGGGATGGAGGGGGCCGGCCAAAGGAGAGAGGGTAGGGGTTTGTCCACATTCAATGAATGTGTCCACATGCAATGAATGTGTCCACATGCAATGAATGTGAAATTTGGAATTAAATCCAATTTAATTTCATATTGGAAGCAATTAGGGTAGCTTCCAAAATAGGTTTAGGCTAATTAGGAAAGATTTTGAAATTCATTTGAAATTTGAATTAAGAGAATTTCCCAATTAGTAATGGGCTAAATTAGGAAAGTCTTAAAGAGACAATTTGAATTAAAATCAAGGGGGATTGAGGTTGGGCCGACAGTTAGGGCTTGGGGAATAGGGTGGCCGGCGGCTATAGGATGGGGAGGGTTTAGGGCCGGCGGCTATAGGGGGATTGTGGGCTCCGAAAATTCGATCCCGGGCTCCGCCCGCTGTTGCTTTTTTCTTTATGGGGGAGTTTTAACGGAATTAAGTTCCAGGGTAAATTTTGGGAAGGCATATGAGTTTGTAGATAAGACATAACCCAAATATTTTGCCCTCATTTTGCGAGGACTTTATGATCTGAGTTCTAGTTTCATATAGGCGCAAGCCCCTATAGTTAATTACCCCTCCCGATAACGAGAGAGAACTTTCAATTAAGACTAGTCTCAATCAGATACGTAGAATATATGTGTTATTTGGCAAATAATAACAACATGGGTTTGGGTATTTTGAAGTTTGATATTTAAAATTGGAGATTTCACCATCTTGCACTTAAAGCGGATGGTGGGGGAATGGATAATGGACCTGATCAAGATCCCATGGTTCTGTCATACCAGGCCATCGTTGTCCCTAGTCTACTTAGTCAGAGGAGATAGTCAACCCAACCTGACAGAAGGATCCTTATCGGCAGCCATGGGTTGCTTCGTCCAAGGGGACCTTATAGACCTGGGGTGAATGTTTATTAAAGGGGACAAATTTGAATCCACCTTAGCTAACAGAGGGCTTTATGCCCTATCGATCATATCTTATTGATTCATATCTCAAGGATTTGATTCTACTAAGGAACGTACTGGCTCTTATCATAACCAGTATTTCATGATACCATTTGGCGGCAATACCACTCGGTTCAGAGGGTCCTGAGTCATAGCCGTGTATCTTGGGTGTCATTTGGTGGCAAAACCGCCGGTTAGAGGACACATACCACGTCCTTGCCGGCAGAAGATTGTTTGAGAATGCATCCTAGTGATATTTTCGATTAGACATTAGTTCTATGTGAGCTGAAATAAATTTCAATTTGTTCACCTCGAGAAACGGTTACGAAGGGTGGATGAATTTTGCTTTAAGTTATTGATAGTTTATTTTAAATTTAAAAATTTGAATTTGGATGATTTTTGGGATTTTGAGTCGAGCTTGGAAGACATTTTAAAGTGTTTGTGAATCCCTCCGGTTGAGATAAACATTCTACACAGCCATCATCAGGGTGTGCAAGGTGCTTTGAAAATATTTAAATTTTGTGAAATTTTGATAGGGCATTTTTAAAGTGTTTGTGAACCTTGTCGACTCCTATTTATTTACTTAGAAGGATTGAGTTCAAATTTATTACTCGCATAACATCTCCAGACGTCACGTGTGTACCAATAACACGCTCGCCGGGGCCCATGCAGGTGAATGATTTTATCGATGAATCTTTTTTATAAAAGGGCCTTGAAGGTCTAATATGAATGTATAAAATAAATATCCCGGTCGACCTTGTGATCGCATATTTATTTAATGGTTCAAACCGTGTCGAGGAGGATTGGTTTTCAAACTTAGATTCCTCATTTAGCCTGCGCAACATCCCTAGACGTCACGTGTATACCCATAACATGCTCGTCGGGGCCCATGCAGATTTTATGATTGCACTTCTCCCCTTTTATGTACCTATGTGTATATAGATTACGGTGCATGTGCGGAGGGCATTTTGAGATATTTAACGCTGCTCAGTTGTGTGGGTGACCATTATTTGAATGCATCGTTCTATTTGGAAGCTCGTACATGCCTTATTTCTGCTTATATACGGGTTGCAGATCTGATGACATTTTATAGCAGCTTCTTGATTGAGTTATTTGCTGCTTTATACAGACAGACTCTCGTGCACTACTTGTTGCTTTCTATAGGTGGATCATAGTGCAGTAACGAATCTCCTGCTTTATACTCGTAGATGCTTGCAAATGGCGCGTTGTATGCATCACGAGCTTCTCACAGTGACTCGTAGTCATTTGTACTTGATGTAGCCATATTACATTTTGTTGGGGATGATGTATTGAATATACAACAAGTCTTCTACGATAATTTGTAGTAGCTTACATCTGTTGTACATCTTTCATCTCCACTTGCAATGAATCAATGTATTTGATGACCGTTTGAATGGTAGTTGATCGGAGGAGTGTTGAAACATCCATTGTCTTCTATTATGATAACTTGTAGGTGTGTAGATATCTTGTACACATAGCAGGTATACAGTCTTTGCCTACAAGTAACAAGTCGTATAAACCTCTATATTCCCCAGGGACCTTTGCATTCATTTCATGTGAAATCTTTCTGCTTGTAGAGGGTTAATGTATTTTCTTAGCACCAGACTGTTTGTTGCTCGTAGGAGTATCCTAACACTCATCGTACATTGCACTGAACATATTGGCAGGAGATCCCTTTGTTGGCGAGGATTGCCACATCTTTTTACACATCAATCATTAAATCCACTAATGGTTCCCTTCATTAGGGCATTCGATCTTCAGTGTACAAGCTCATTGATTAGTTGGTGTGAACACTGCAAATTTCATATTGACTATATATAAATCAAGGGTTCGGTAGCATATATGTTCTTCTCATTTGCAAGTGGACTATTACATGCTCATTTGCACATTAATCTGGATTGATGATAGAGGGACTATTTTTATGTTGATTGCTTGTTAACATGAATCACCAGGTGAGATATATCCATCACTAATTCTTTCATACATGTTGACTGATGGATGGCTACATTTGTCATCAAATTCCTTTTGCACATTGATCAATGAATTGCTACATTCACTTATGTATTAATCTTCAGTGTTCGTTGGTATTTGCACGTTGATCGACATGAAATTTTCTCAAAATTTGCTGAGAACTTCATACTTTTGATTGTAGGCATATTGATTGGGATGCCACTATATATATATCATGCCATTAGTGTTAACATATGACTTGTCATACGCATCATATTTCTTTTGTCTTTGAAGGTAGCTTTAGAATGCCCCCAATGACTATTGCCTATTTGATATCTTGCTCTCATTCAATATAAAGGTCTTGAGCGTTTGTGGGAAACTGATGCAAGCAAAAAATTGGGAAGGGCCCCAAATTTTTGCAAGCAAAAAAAAAACAAAACCTTATCAGACTCTTATGACACCAAGACTCAAATAACAACACAACTCAATAACCTAGGATATACTAACTTGCTATGATACCAAATTGATGCAAGCAAAAATTTGGGAGAGGGCCCCAAATTTTTGCTAACAAAAGAGACTCTTTCTAGAAATTAGAAAATTACAAGAACTCACTAAAACTAGACAATTTATGACAAAAACAAACTTTAGTATTATAAGAGACGCTTACAACTTTGACTTACAAACAATACATAAACATAAAAATACACCTAAAGTTGCTCTTCTTTACTTGAGACGAAAGATACATATGAGGTGGCACTTGCGGTGGGAAGAAAGAGGTTAGAAGCCAAGACGAAGGAGGAGGACAAGCTCGCAAGCTTTCCCAAGGAGGAGAGGAAGAGAAGTTGGACAAAGCTCGCAAGCTTTTACAAATAAACCCGCAGGTTATGGCTTCCAAAAATCACATCATAAGCTCTTTTTTATTCATACAAAACATCTCCTATTTATAGAAGAAAAGGGCAGCCAAACAACCACCTAAAACATTAATTAAAACCTATTAGATTTAGGGAAATGAAAGGCCAACAGCCAGAACACATCAGCCCCCAAACGGTACAGCAAAACAGAGAAGAAAAGCCATGGGAACCAAGCGGACAACCGCGGGAACCAAGCAGCCAGCCGTAGGAACCAAGCAGCCATCCGCGGAACCAAAGGGCAAAGCCACGGGAACCAAGCAGCCATCCACGGGAGCCAAGCAGCCATCCACGGGAACCAAAGGGCCAAGCCACGGG